GAAGAATTGTTTCATGATGCCTAATCTAAACCTGTCCTCTTTTACATGTCAGCCATTCACCATGTCAGCAAATCCCACATCCCCAAACCACAGCTCACCTGGGCTCAGGCATTTCTGCACACCGCCCGCTCCATTTATCCCCGCCCATCGGTCCCCCATTGCCCGCTGCCCAGGGCTGCGTCCCTTTGGCTGTGGAACCTCTGCAGGGACGGAGACCCCACGGCAGTGCTGGGCAGCCGCAGTGGTGCTCACCCACCTGCACAGATGGCAAAGGGAGTGCTGATGTTTCCTCAGAGTTCCTGTGCTTCCAGTTGTGCCCCCTGTCTCCTGTCCTGGCTCTGCACCCCGCTGTGCCCCACCAGCTCTTTGCACCCCCACACTGAACATCCATGGCCTCTCCATCAGAGGATCACAGAATATGCTGGGTTGGAAGAGACCCACAGGGATCCGACCCCTGGCTCTGCACAGGACCACTCAAATCCAAACGCTGTGTCTCACACTGCTGTCCAAACGCTGCACGATCTGCTGCAGCTCGGGCTGTGATCACAGCCCATACAACCATGCCCCGCCTCGCCATGAAAGGCAGAAGGAACTGCACGACAGCAGAGACACCTCCTGCCTGACCGACCCCTCGCCGCCTGCAGGATGGTACCAACCTTCTGCAAAAAGGTCCGTTTGTCCTTCTCCAGCATCTCTCGCGTGTAACACGGAGCAGCGCCGTTCTGCTCTACCATGGCATCAATCATGCTGATGAGCTCTGCAACCTGCCGATCCCTCTCCTCCCCGGTGGCTCTGTTGCTGAATCCAATGCACCGATTTCCACACTTGGCTGCCAAGGCCTTGAGGTATGAACTCCCTTCTATGAAACTCTTCAGACCTTTTGGTTTCTGCAGCTGTTCTGCTCGGGTGAATAACAGGATTGTGTACCTCTGTGCTTCAATATTGAATATCTTGGTCACCCACTCAACCACTTCCTTCTCTTCCTGAGTGATTCGACCCAGCTGCATCACCAGGACGATGGCATGGACCCCTGTAGAGAGGTATCGAAGGCCGTTCTTGATCTTTTCAGCCGTTTTCAGGTTGGCTTCTCTTGTGTCAAAGAGGCCTGGAGTGTCCACAACCTCCACTGCCCTTCCACAGCAGTGGCTCTGGCCACTGCTGTAGTCAGAGGTTACGGAACTTTCTGACAGCTTCGATTCAAACGCCTCCTTCCCAAGGATGGTGTTCCCTGTCGCGCTCTTCCCACTCCCCGTCTTGCCCACCAGCAGGATCCTCAGCTGGGACCCTGGGGAACAAGCAGAGATGTGCGTGAGCCCCCAGTGCGCAGCTCCCCTTGGCCCAGCTGTGCTCCTCGGGGTCCGTCAGAGGAACGTGTGGCCCTGAGGGCGCCCAGGGCTGTTGGGCTCCAGGCTTTCTAAATGGCTGCACCCAGTGCTCCCCTGAGAGCAGAAACAGAAAGTGACAGCGATCTGACAGCTCCCTGAGCCCCAGCACTGCTCGGGGCGGACTCTCCCTTTCCAAGCAGTCACACACTGAGCAGATAACGCAGCAGGGTTTGTGCAGCATTGGCCCTCGGGCCATTGCTTGACCTTCATGTCGCCAGTGGGGCACAGCTCTACGCAACGGGCACCGAGGCAGTGAGTATTGGGGTGCAGCTTGACCCCTGTGCTGTATGTCAGGCTGTACAGCGCTGTCCCATCTGCCCTCACCCAAACTCTGTGAGCTCTCAGAGCGGGGAGATGGAAGGCAGCCTCAGGAGATGCAACAGCGCGCAGAGGGGGAGCAGCTTACCTTTGCTGTGACGTCCTGCCATCGGGAGAGCGCTCACACTCACACGGGGA